TTATACTAACATTCTCTGTATTCTTTCATTTCTAGGTTTTCGGCCTTTCATTGCGTTAAATACAGATGCTTCACATACTAACAATACTTTTTTCGGTTAATGATCCCCATGTTGTTTTCAATACTGTTCTTTATTTTATATTTGTAACATTTTTACACTTCAGAATATTCACTGTACTAAAAAAAAAGACCTGTCATATATAAGGCAAGCTAAATTGTTATGAAAGACATACTTTTACAATTGTGAAATTAGACTAAGACACTGAAAAATTACCGTTTCTATTAGAAATATTTCTGTTCACCCATAGTTTTGCTAAAAATATGTAACTAATATCCACTATCTAATGCCTCTTACAGCTTATATTCAGCCTTTGCCTTTCATTAATTAGCATTTAACAACTGCTTAATCTTGTGGTTAATACCTGACCTTATGACCGGAGGGAGGTTAACTCCGAATTTTAACTGCTCCACAAAATAATTTATCTTGCCAACAAGTACACAGGATAATTTCTGCAGAAAAACAATATTGTCGTGTCTTACACAATAGTTGCTTTGTCTCCCGGAACCTCTGTCCGTGACACTACGAAAAATTTAGAGTTTATGCTATTAAAAAGTTTTCATGAAGTACATACATCTGAACTTAACCACATATAATTTCAGCATTTAAAAACAGCTGTTTCCTTCGCTCATGAAACAGGATTGAAAAAGTCAGTATGACTTCCTTCTTGGTTCTATCATTACATCTCAGTGATTGGCATGATCAGCTTGGAAACCGATAGCCCTGTATGGCCCTGTATATTTTGCTAAAATGTCCACTAAGCTTTCTATGCTTCTTTCTTTCATCAAGATCACAGAAGATAGATACGAAACATTATCCTCTTTAGTTACCTGGGTTTTTTCTTATTTATACTTTTGCCTTACAGTTCAAGAAGAGGAGTGTTCTTTGTGGGGAAAAGTGAGTAGCGGTAAGAAAGCAGTACCTGAAAGAATTCATCACCAAGTCATATCACAAGCAGCAAATGTAATATATTCTTGAAGATGAAGAAGATAACCTGGCAAATCTAAGCAATTTTAGTAACAAGTTTTTTAAAGCAAGAAAGAATTGTAGACATAAAAAGCTGTATGTGAATTATAAGCCTAGATTCAAACATTCATAGATTTAAAGGCCAGAAGGTACCATTATAATCATCTGTTCTGACCTTCTGCATAACGCATGCAGGGAATTTCACCCAGTAATTCCTTTTGTAAGCCCCACAATTTGTGTGTGAGTTAGTCTTTTTACAAAGGCACCCAGTGGAGCACTTACCATCTCCTATAATAATCCTCCCTGCTACCTGATTATCCTCATTATAATTGCTGTACATCATATTTCTAATAATTGGGAAGATATTATCTTCCTTTTCTTTGCCAAAATTCCAATCAATGGGGATTGAGTCCATTTCTCTAAACTCTTCCTGCATGGTTTTCTCAAAACGCCTGGACAGGCATACTTCATTTCCTAGTTTATACTTTGAAGGAGAACAGATATGAGTGTTCATACAAATTTCTTCACCAGCTGTAAAATAGGTAACTCCTTCTATCAGATCTTCCTACGGATCTCTATTTCCGTCTACATAGAAAATGTCTGCAAACCATCAGTTCAAGGAGTAAACTACTATTGCTAATGAAAGCCTGTAACTGTATCACTGTAGGACTCAATCTAGAAAGATTTCTGGATTATCTGGAAGTCAAGATACTGACTATACTGCTTTTGTCCCTTCTAACATTAATCTGTGTGGAAATATATAACATAGCCCTAAAAAGGCAACAATGACACATCAGCCTATCAGAAACTTACCAGAATGAAGTAAATCAACACAACACTGTAGTACCAGGATTCAATATACACAGGAAAGACAGTGAGTAAACTCTGACACCGGTGGGGTGTCACGGTTTAACCCCAGCCAGCAACTAATCCCCACCCAGCCGCTCGCTCACTCCCCCCGAGTGGGATGGGGGAGAGAATCAGAAGGCTAAAAGTGAGAAAACTCGTGGGTTGAGATAAAGACAGTTTAATAGGGACAGCAAAAGCCGTGCACGCAAGCAAAGCAAACCAAGGAATTCCTTCACTGCTTCCCATGGGCAGGCAGGTGTTCAGCCATCTCCAGGAAAGCAGGGCTCCATCACGCGTAATGGTGCCTTGGGAAGACAAACGCCATCACTCTGAACGTCCCCCCCCTTCCTTCTTCTTCCCCCAGCTTTATGTGCTGAGCATGACGTCATGTGGTGTGGAATATCCCTTTGGTCAGTTGGGGTCAGCTGTCCCGGCTGTGTCCCCTCCCAACTCCTTGTGCACCCCCAGCCTCCTCGCTGGTGGGGTGGAGTGAGGAGCAGAAAAGGCCTTGACTCTGTGTCAGCACTGCTCAGCAATAACCAAAACATCCCTGTATTATCAACACTGGTTCCAGCACAAATCCAAAACACAGCCCCATACCAGCCACTATGAATAAAATTGTCTACCCCAGCCGAAACCAGGACATGGGGTTATATTCTCTACTACACACTGTTTACTATCTTTGTAATTAACAGCCTTATTGTGTAACACAAAATCTGTATGGATGGCAGGTCCAAGCCCAGCACCAGCAATGTAGTGCTGTGGCACCACTCTCCCCACCAGGAGGGCAACACCAGCTGTGGTATGCCGAAAAAATGTATAATAACATTAGGACAGGAAGTGCAATTCCACCGAGTGACCAAAATTATCTCTGAATAGACTGAACAAAAATTACCTTGTGATGTTAAGCAGAGAAGAAATTTTTAAACCATATCGCTGATTGCTTTGTGAATCAGCTGGCTAGGAGACCACAAGAAAATGAACCGTTTACTGGGTCCTGAATAACGTGAAAGATCTTCATCTGGTACAAAAATCTCACCACTGAAATGCCACTGTGTAAGATGGATCTTTATGCCTATATTCAGCATCTCTTCAACAGCAACAATCACCATAAAATCCACTACAGGAAGAGAAGAGCGACATTAAAATAAGAACACTTATTAAAAATATAATAAAGCAGACTACCATACAGGAAGCAGAGCACCATTGCGCTATTAATTCCAATTAGGAAAGGCTTGAGAAAGGGGGAAAAAAAGAGGCCTGGCTGCCTAAACAGCAAGGGAAGTTAACAGAAACAGGAAAGCATCCTCCAATAGACTTAAGAATTAGCAAATGAAGAAAGAACTGTAACCTCTAACACATAAAATTAAAAATATAACTAGATGGAGGAAAAAAAATCTGAAAAACAACTAGCTAAAGGAATCACAACTAAATCTACAAACGGGGGCAAAAGGTGTCCTAGAGTTCTGTATTACCTATTAATGGTCAAGGAATAAAGAAGCACTCAGAAACGACAAGGCCATTTGCAGGCATGCTTAAATGGGCTCTTTGCACGGCTATTCACTGTGGAAGAAGCCTAGTTAGGCTGCATGTCACAGTCCTTTTTTTGTGAGGAGGACAGAACAGGCTATGGTGTATCTATGGACAAAATAAGCACCAAGAAATAACCAGGGCCAAGTGACACTCACATAAAACCTCTAAGAGAAAGCTATGATGAATAGCTGAAGTATTAATGATTAGGCTAAGCTCCCACTTAAAATTTCCTTGCATGGCAAATATGATACCCATTTATTCCGACAGTTTCCAAGGAGAACCACAGGTTTGTGAAACTGTAATCTGTACAAGACATTTTAGCACAGATTATAACAATGCTAGAACAAGCAGATATATGAATAAACATAACCCCGAGGTGGGTGTGTTGATTTTCCTTCCATAATGAGAAAGCCAACATTACAAACCTTCTGAAGTTCTGATGAAGACATCAATATACATGTGGATGAGGATTATCTGACTCAAAATTACAATTGGCTTGTCCCGGTACAGTAACACTACAGAAAAAAGCATTTTGGGTCAAAAAAGTTGCTGAGAATTCCTGTTTTTAAAAGCCATTCAATTAGAATTATGCAGCTAAATTCTACTCTGAATCTAGAACTATTCAAGAGTTACATTATTCCATGAAACTCAGAGAATGTCCCAGAAAATTGCACCTGAACTAATTCAGATTGCCCTCCAGCTTCAGGAAGCGCTGAACTCAGACGTATAAAAAGTTATTGCTGCATTTTCTTGGCAGTTTAATTTACTTGCATTAAAACTCAGGTGTAGGAAAGCATTCCAGTCCAAATTTCCTGGTTATTCCCATAACTGTTCCGTAAGTGTTTATAAGTGCACCTACTGCAAATTCATTTCTATTATATTTTTTTGCAATTTATAAAAGAAATTCTTCATGAAAATTAATCTTTGCACTTAATTCTACTTTATATGAACATTTTCATTTGATACACTTTAAATATTCAAAAAAGTTGTTTCATGTTGCTTTTCTGTCTTCTGCTTCAATATTTTGCCTCTCCAAACAATCTGTAATAATTCCTTACTGTTCCAAATTACTCTGTTTTCCAGATTTTCTAAATAAAAGCTAGTGCAAGTACGTCTCACCGCTCAAATCCGTAGTTCTTTCAACCTGCCTTGATTAATGTGTTAGGTTGGTGAGCAGAAAAATCTTCCCTTAGACACTGTGTAACTATGAAGAAAGGCTACTTTAAAATTGTTTCCTTGCAACACGGAGATGGTAGCATCAAACTCCACTTTTACTGAAATAAAAATAAAATGCAGACTTTTATTTACAACACTTCATGTAAGAAAACAGATGGATACCGTCATTTTAGCAGTAATTTCGTGGGGTTTCTTTTCCAAGCGTGACAGGTGGTGTATTTTGGGTTTTTTCCTCCACATTGTCAAAGTTTCTTTGAAGTGTAACTTGGTAAGAAAACTACGCCACAACACACTCATGGAAGTTGGCACTACCACATAAGTCTTCACCATTCGTCTTGCCCGTATTCACTGGACTCTTGAAGAGTTTTTAGAACTACGGCCATCAGGTAAATCGACACCCAGCGACCTCTACTTCAGAGATGACGCGCGGATTTCGACCCGGGCCTCCACGCTTTGCCGCCCTACAAAGCAGCGAAGATTCAGGATCTCCGCGCCACAAGCCGGCCGGTACCGTTCGCAAGGTGAGCCTGAGGTAACGCAGGGCGGCTATTCCCTTTCCACCCCGACTGCCGTAACTGCTTTCGCTTCCTTTTCTCACGCCCGGACTCTACAGAGCACGTTGC